TAAATGGAAGAGTTTAAAGATGTGCAAGGTGTTTCCAAAGTGTGATGAGCAAAGCACTTTCTTTGCCAGGTTTATGACAAGTGAAGAAAGGAGCAGGACTGTATTGAAATCTGTGTGGTAGGAGCCCCATTCACGTAAGAGGCTCCATTCAGGGCCTTACAAAGGGTATGAGTCAACTGCAAAGAAAGGAGGCATTTCACAGAAACTGAAGTGTGACCCTTTGTTTTTCCTGACCCCAAGGTCCTCAGCGACACAAAAGGGGACCCCAGCACTGATTCTGCAGCAACAAATGCCTGTTGTGAGTGAGTGTATTTGAGGAGCAGTGACAATAAGGAATGACCCGAGGTTCTTGTTTCCAGCCCTTGTTTCCCAAGGGACTGTCAAGGAGGCAGTCCTGCATGCAGCCTGACAGAGGTGAGGAGATGAGGGTGCTGGAAAGCTCTTCCTAGTGGATGCATTTCCTTCTCCTGAAATGCATTATCTGATCATCCACGTTTACTATTGGGACATCTGGATAGTGAGTTTTTTGGAATTTGTTCTGCAAGGTTTATGGAAATAAATACATCTTTTATTAAGCTGTTACGTGAAGTGGGATTTTTCTAATTTAGGACTGGCAAGGGATTAGGATGTCTTAGTAACCTTGTCTTTGTTTCAACCTTCCATTAGTTCATGACTACTTTGTTTCACAATCAAAGTAGACATGAAAGGGATGTTTTGCTTTCCCCTTTTCATTATCCCGGAGTGCTGCAAGTACCTATTAAAGTTCACGATGGAATTAGGGTGCAGAATGATGGATTTAAAGGTATCATAAAACTCTTCCTGGTAAACAGTAGTCCCCAAACATATTCCAGTTGTGACCCGACAGAGGCTGCTGGAGGCATCCCAAGCAGCCACGCATTGGCTGTACAGATCGTTTGAGCTGAGGAAATTCATTTGCATATGGATGCCATGCTAAGGAGGCCAGTCCGGATTTCATTACTGCTAATGACGTGTGTGGGAGAAGTGATTTAGTTTATAGCCAGTGCCAGGCATGGCACAATGAGGAAGTACTTAATTCACACAAAGCTCTTCCTTGCTTCTAAGACCTAAAAATTAGGGGATTTCAAGCAGTTCTGGGAAGCCCAGTGTGAGTGATGTGGTGTCCTCATGACCATGAACAGAGCTGTGACTGAGGTGAGGGAAGCAGGGAGAAGGAAGCATCAAGACACGGCATTGATGTCATGAAGGAAAGGATCGGAGGAGAAATGAAAGGGAATGAAAAGCTGAAGAGAAGAAAGACCAACTGAGGATGGAAAACCAGCAGGCAGAACTGGCTCTGCAGGAATCGTGGCTGCCAAAGCTGGACATTTGAACCTTGGAGGTGCCAGAATTTTCACTGAGCCTTTGCTACAGTTTGCCCAACTCAAAATGCAGGCAGGCACATTGGGCCTGGGGTAAGATGTCCATCTTCAGAGACAAGAGAAGTCTCTGAGAACTGGAAAGAAGAAAAGGGACCCCAGGTTAACACTGGAGTTGGAGTAATTGGGAGATGCTGCACTGTCTGAAGGCATCTTCCTACTGCACTGGAGACACATCTGCTTTCCCTGTTCTAATAGGCATTGCCTGAGGCAAGGGGGAGCAGAGAGGGGCCTGGGGACACTTCGGGGGACAAGGGTTACTATGCTCAGGCAACTTCTGGAAGAGGCATTTGAACTGGGATCAGTGTCTTGTGTGGTCTCTCAGCTGTGAGTAATAAATCAGTCAAGAAGAAGAAAGCATAGAGAGAAGGAATGGGTGAGTGAGGAGGAATAAGTCGGAAGGATTAAAGCACACTGTACTGTCATGCTGAAAGAGTGTTTAGAGCATGCAAAGCACCCAGAGTACGTGTCAGGACAGAATTTAAAAGGTTGAGAGGGCTTTGAAGAGGAATCCAATTTTGGGGTTTATGGGTCCCCCAACCACCCTGGTGTTCCATAGTCACATGCTATCGTTGCATAGTATAGCAAGAAAGAAGGGCTCTGAGCTGCTGCCCATCACTTGGGCATAGGATATGACCGTGTATCCATCTGCAGCTCACAATATGAAAACCTGAACAAAGATCTTTCAAGAGGAATTACTCCTGCCTTATTCACGGCACAGCAGCTGGTTGTAATGAAATTTAACTGTTTGGCTGCAATCACCCACAATGCATGCAATCAAAAGGGTTATGGCCCTGCTCACTCCTGGAGCAGCTGGGAAATGCTGTCTCTGAAAATACAGGATGGTTTCAGGTACCTTGATTTAAGCATTGTTGTTCTGCAATTTTCTAAAGAGGGAAATCAGCTGGTCACTTGGGCAGTGGGATGCGAAGGCCACTTCGGTAATCCATGAATGAGTGAATACAGTTTGGAGAGTTCCCCGATTTTTTGCTTCATCTGAGTTGAACTCAGAGGGTATGGGACAGTGACATTTAGCTGGGGTTACTGGAAATCAAATATTGTTTACTTGATATTGCAATTGAATTCAGAACAGATGTAAGATGTCTTTATAAAACAACCCCCAGTTTTAGCATTTGCGTGTCTCTGGAAAAATACTGAGATTTGCTCAACTGGTGGCCTTTATATGTGGTTTTAGGACAACTGTATGCTCTTGAATGTTTTAATATGTGGAAGTCATTTGAATTATCTTTGTACCCAATTGTATGAGGGCAGCATGCGGATTTCACCAGCTAGAAGAAATTAGAAAGATGATTTATCATAAAAGAGGAAGCAGGAATCAGTTAAATTTGGAGAGGATCTGAAGAGCAAAGGGGAGCTAGAATAATGTGCACTATCTTCTAAATGCAGGAGAAAAAAAAAGGAGAAAAAGAGACCATGCCAATGCATTATGGTTCTCTGTGCCTCTACTGGCAGACTGAATTGTGTTGCGGATGGATCATTTCTTCTAAGCAACAGCAGCAGGTTTCAAATAATGCTTCATATATCCCAGGTTTAGCCCATGAAGAAAAGGAATTACTTGCGAGGCAAATAGAGCAGATTTGCAAATAGAGGAGAATGTTTTATAGCCAGACTTTCAAACATTTGGTTCCTGCAGATGCCAGAAGACTCTGCATCTGCTTTAATCAGCGTAGGTTGATCCTTTCTGATTATTTCTTTGGGATCTCCATGGTTATTAAGGTAGTAGTTTCATATTACCTAGGACAATGTGACTGTACGGATTCACACAGAGGGCAACTTACCTGCAAATTCAAACTGCACAGCTTTTAATTGGTAAGAAAAGCAAGTGAGAGCTGATGATCCAAGAATAGATATTTATTGAGAATTCTGTGATTCCCCCTCCAAGGTATCTCAGCTATCTTTCAGTTACATCTTCTTTAGAGAAGAATATAGGCTCTTCTTTATATTTTGGCAAAAGAAAAACAATAGCAGGATAATGGAAATGAAAGATTTTTTTATCAAGTAGGCTTAAAATGTACCTGGGAAATCACTGCATTGTGCTCAGCTGAGTGTAAATAAAGGTTGCAGTGTGACAGACTCTGAAAATACTTCATAAGAAATCTGAAATTGCCCATTAATTGCTGTCTCAGGGGATACAGGTCTTTTATGGCAGGAATCTCTTCAGCAGCTGGGATAAGAGGAGAAGCAATGCCGTTACTGTAGAGGGCAGGGTGCATTGTTCTTTTTAATTCCTTTTACCCCTTTGTTGTACTTTTACAGCAGGAAGGTTCTCTTCAGATCTGGAGTATTCCATGGCAAGTTGTATGGTGGAGGCAACTCACAAGTGAAGCACATATACCAGTACTGTCCTGAGAAGGTGGTTCTGGCTCAGAGAAGTCTAGGTTTTGTGTTTTATTTTTGAAATATCGTTGTTCTTTCATGTCTGTATTTAGGATCTGTTGGCCTCAAAATGTTGTACAGCTGGGCTTGTAAACAGTTGGCTTCTACAAACACCAGAAGATTCTCTGTTTGCTCTTATCAAGAGAATCTGATTATTTCTTTGACAGCCTTGTGGTTCTTGGGGTGGTAGTTATCAGACCACCTACAACAATATAAACGTTCAGCTTTTCTTCATGCAGAGGACAACTCACCAGTGGACTGAAGTTGAATGTCTGTTCAGTTTGTTAGCAAATGGCCAAGAGAAAAACAAAAGAGCCTTGAAATGCTGAGCAGTGCAGTGGTGGGTGTAGAGGCCCTATGGTGTCACCTTGACTGCTTTAGTTTTCATGACAGTTGAACTGGGAGTATAATGGGATTGGGTCTCCCTGTATGTTTATACTGACCCTGTTGTAATGTATCTTTTTAAAGATAAGATCTTCTTTAAACATAAGAGGTAAGGAGAGAGGGGAGAGGGCAGGCAAGCACTGTATAAAGCATCTGTAACATTTAATTATATGAGACAGGGATTTTCCAATATGCCTTGCAACACAAAGAACATTTAGCTATCAGCATCACAGTATATATTTTCTAAATCACAACACCCACACATTTCCTTAGCCAAGTACAAGTTTTCCTTCCATGGCTGCATATCTAAAATTAGCCTGAAGGTCAAATCTGAATAGAAATACCCTTACTATTGAACGTGCTGGGAATGATTGGAGCAATGGGCTCAATTTTCCCATCGAAAACCTTCATTTATTTTTTTAAATAACAGTAGCTTTTACAGTCAAAGAGCTTGGAGAAAGGCAAAATGAGGCCTGCTGTATAAAATCAACATCAGTATTCTGCTTTCACTGCAAGGCTATTTTTATAGCCAACTATTTTAAATGCAACAAGATGGATAAAGTGAAGCCATAGTATAAAAGATGTAGCATGAGGCTTCTGAATAGCAAGGCTGAGCATAGGCACGTGAAAGAAAGGCCTTAACATTTGGAAAATGTTTGTATGTGACAGATATACACAATGAAGAATTCTGAGTTAAGAAATGCATTGTTGAGAAGAAGTGAATAGTTCAGGTCTAAAAATAGTTGTTTAACCTGCAGTCGTATTATGTGAGGACTGCACAGCCTATACTGCACAAATGCAAAAGCACTGTCTTGCAAGAAGTGCATTTATCAGCCACAGTGTTTTATTGAGTGCTTTAATAATACAAGTGTACATCAACTGATCCACAGTCAAAAGTGGCAGGTCCCTAAGAAATTTACAAGCACTTTTTTTTGTTGTTTTTTAAGTAAATCAAAATACATATTAATTTGTTCAACGCAATAGCCTTTTGTGTGGGAAACAGAAGGCTAGTGATAAACACAGTCTTAGTAATGCACAGTGATTCTTGATTTTAAGCTTTTATACAAAACTTGTTCCCAGTAGCATGCACCCACCATTAAAGACTTCAGTACAAAAAAATAACCCTAAACACTACATTTAAGTAGAAATGAGATATAATTCTGAATTTTTTTGTTTTCCCCAAAACCACATGAAAGAAAAAAAAACAATCCCACACATTAATACAAAGCTTTGTGATAAAGCTCTATACTATTACAGATCCAACATTCTTTGCACTGATAACCAAAATTCCCTGTCTACATTTGAGGGAAACAACTTTCAAGTTAACAGAACAAAAAACCCCAGAACAAATAAAAATAAAACAAAAAAAGAAAGTAAGGACAACCTTTTGTCACAAAATGGTTCAAAATTTAATAAAAAATAAGAATGAAGGGAAGGGCTATTGATGCACTTAGTGAATGTGCTTGCACAGGTCCAGCAAATCCTAGAGTAGGTTCCTATGTGGCGTATCGCTTGGTCCACTGTCTGGCCATTCTGTCGTGCTCTGCTCTGTTAGTCATGTACTGAGTGGCAATGCTTCCAACCAGGGGGTCAGCTGAAAAGGAAACACAAAGTGTGAAACACGCGTTCAGCCTCGAAAGGATGAAAAAGCTATTTTTAGATCCACATTCATTCAGTTCTCTTAGGTTAAACTGTAAGAACAAGATGCCTATATATGCTAGCCTAATTTTGAAAGCGTGGAAGGAAGATGGGGAGAAGGTGGCTTGCAATTAGCTATACATTTCTGTTAAACATATAACTGAAACAATATTCTAAAATTATACTTCACAAAGAAAAGTTCTGATAATTTCATTTTGAGCTAAAATTCACTTTCAGATGATGTAATTTATTTATGGTATTAGATTCCCACAAGTATATATATTCTCACCTAAGAAGAGGATGAGCTCTAATTCTATTATCAGGTTCAATTTTTTTTTAACGCTTCTAGTTTTAAAGCGTAAAGAAATATAAGGAATTAAGGCAGTAAGTACTATTTTCAAAGTGACAGAAGTTAATTCCAAACTTTGGAATTGTTATTTAATTTAAGGGATCTTTCTGAGCATTCATATGGCCAGAATGCTGCATGATATGGTCTGAATCTCCAAATACTTCACAAATAATTAATCAAAACCAATCAGTCCCCTAAGAAAAACAAACCAAGTCAAGACATTCCCGTAAGTGATTGCATTTAATCAACATTTTTCTCTTTCAGATATGTTTCTCAATTTAAAGCAGACAAAATGTATAGAGATTTTCCCTTTTTTGAGGGAAACCCATACACTTAATATTTTTGCTGCAACAGTAAATTTTCTGAGATTGTACCATGTAAATCCAGAGGCACTGATACCACACTTTTTCCTGACTTAGGACAGAGGAATATGACTTCTTCTGAAAGCGAGGTAATAATTAGCTTTGTAGTTGACTGAAGATGGTGCCATTGAACAATATGACTCTTAGCTTCCCTGGTACAGTTGTAATCTGAGTGGGGTGCTTGTATATTAACCACTGAAACTCCTTGGACAAGACGTCAGATGTTACTCTGCTTCTGTAAAGCAGAGTAAATCTGGGCTTTTTTTGTTTGGTTGTTAATGACAGGAGTTTATGATAGGAGAAATATGTTGGTTTAGCAAAAAATCAATTGATTGGCATACTGCCAACATCATCAAATATTAGTAAATAATATCTAATAAAAAAATCTTTTGGTTTGCATGCATACCCTGCACTTCCAGGAAGAGCATGTGATTTGAATGTCAAGTTTACACTTTCTAAATTAGTAAGGCAAGTTATCACTCTGACTGCAGTGTACTATGTCCCCGTAGTCTCAGTCCTGTGAACACTTACTGCATGTGCTTACCTTTAATATTTTAATATAACCAGGGAAGGTCACCGAGGCCTGAACTTGACTATTTTTACATTCATAAGTGTCCAAGAAGCATATCTAATCTAAGATCCATTTAAAAAGCTGTAGACTAGAAAGTATATCACATTTAACTCCTCGGCCAAGGTGGAAAAACTACGTAGGGGATTACCAGAAGGATTTTGTTCTGTGCAAATAGGAGGCTAATAGTATATGGGCATTTAAGTAGTGAAAAGATATCCATGGCTGGAACAAGGTTTCAGAAGCACTGTAGGGTAAATAGGGAACTTGGGCAATAGGAAAGGGCAACATTTCCTTCACAAAAAATTTAGGGAGTAGCCACAGGGAAACGTTGTCATAGTGCAACACTAGTTTGGGGATCAGCCTGACAGCACTGCTGCAAATTCCCACACCCTCCTTGGATGCAACGCAACTGCGTAAAGAAACGCTTTCGGAGAGCCCTGGAGAAATGGAGCCTAAGAGTTGAACTTGAAAGGAATCCCTGAAGTAAAATTTGACAAATGTCCTGGTTTTCATACTGTTGGGAAAGGTGGTGTTCAGCCTCTGAGGCATCTGGCTGTGATGGGCTGCAGGATATTATAATCTGGGAATGCGGCAAGTCCTTCTTGAGGTTTAGTGCACATTTAAAGTGCTGCGTCGAAGATCTTTACAAAGCCTTGCATGAAAAGTGATGTGCTGTGGTAAAGATTTACCCTGTTCAAATCTGAAGGTTTTTTATGTGCAGGATGAATGTTTCTGCGAAAGCATGTCTTTCACATTGAGAGGTGTAAATCAATTTCTTTGATACACTCCAAGGGTACTGAGGATCACATCATCATCCCCAGTCCTTGATGATAATTATAATTGTTTCCTAGTGTGGGTTTCCATGTATATCTCCTTTTGGGAGGAAATATTTCAACAACACACATATTTAGAAGGCTTTGGAAGGTACAGGCTCTTCCTCTCACTTCCTCACAGCATGGGAAGGTGTCTCCTCTCTTTTAGGGTGAGAGAATCAGTGAGAGGAGTTCTTGGTAAGAAGGTGTGGAAATCTGTTGAAGCCCAGTAATGTAGAGAACTGGGTTGTTTGTTTATCCATTCAAGTCTTTGTCTTTGCAGTATTTTGTTTGGCAGTTGGGGAGAGAGTGGAGGTGATGGCCTGCAAGATGTCTGAGGTCTACAAAGCTTTTATTGTAGGTGTGTAAATTCCCACAGAGTGACCTGAGAATCAACTGTCATCTTGGGTAGTTCCCCCAAGCAAGTGTCTCCTTCCATTGTTGTCTGCCTGTATGAAGCAGGTCTGTGGAAGCAAACCACTTGCTTGCTGTAGCATGAGTGGGAACATCTGCACTCACAGCCAGCTGCCAAGCGAATGCTACTAAAAGGTACTCTCAGTAATAACAGTAAAGCCATTGTTTTTTTCAATTCGGTTAAAAGTTTTTTAGGCACAATATTGAATAAAAGAACAAATCTATAATTTGGCAAAGCCACTTCCTTGTTTGAGACCACAGACTGAGGGAATAGAAAAATAGTTACTGACACTGAGGCCCCGCTATTTCACATCTCTATCAGACAGTCTGAAGGTGTGTTGCCATTACACGTAGTTACTTATGAGGATTTTAAAAAGGACTCTTCAACAGGTGTTTGAAGAGCTGGCGTATTTTAGCAGTTCCCATGAAGGCATAAAGCCATCAGGAGGCACAACTGCTTTGTTTGGGAAGTCAGGACAGATGGCGAGGAGGGAAATTTAAACTTCAGATCAGAGCCACCAAACCGGTGGCACACTGGCCAATTCCATGCAGCATGCTGCATCTGTGCCACAGCATTTAAGGACAGTATGTGAGCTCCAGAAATGCCATGGATTCTTCCTGCACCTGTGTGGGCAGTTTCAGCCAGCTGGCAGGCCCAAGGAGACAGATCTCTCAACCCTTTAGGAGTCATGAGTTACTGTTGTTACACAGTTCACTGGGATGGGCCATGAAATGAAGATTACAAGATAAATTGAAGCACCTTAATTAAAACAATTAAAAGATTTAATTCTCAATTTAATGCACGAGCCTTGGTTATAGTGTCCAAGTCCCACAAAATACCAACTATGAGGAAGAAATCAAGTTAAAAACAGCAGTTATCATTTACCTCCTAAACTATGTAGCACATGGCTGAGCATCATGTGGTTCTCAGCTGGGCTGCACTGTTTGAGGGGTATTGTGAAATCTCCATTACTAAGGTCAAATATGTATTTATAAAACAACCACTGCATAAACTATCTAATTAAGACATAAAAAGGAATACTGGATCACAAAATTCATATGGGCATTTTTCCCATGTTTCCATTTCTCTTTACCAAAAACTATTTTTATTTTCCATTTGTATATATCTGTGGTTTTATTCTTGATGTTAGAAATTCGTTTCTGTAACTAACAAACTGCTTGAGTTTTATCTTTTTTTTTTTTTTAATAAGTAGCATGATTCATCATTGAATCAGGGTTCATTTTACAATTTGACTCCAAATGGGACTGTGTCCAACTGACAACAAAACCAGGTGACAGGAATATAAAGCTATGCCAGAAATGTGTTATCATAACAACCTAGTAAAAGAAATTAAAATAAACCCAAAGTAAATTAACAACAATAACAGCAAAACTATGCAACTGCTGGCCTGGCAGGAGGAATGTACTCTTGGTGCACCAAATGCATGGTGGCTGGCTTGTGAGCCGGGATGGCACCCCCTGTGCACAACTCCTTGTATGGGCTTCCCAGCCCTCAGGGTGCCGGTGGCTGCGGAAGCCAGGATGAGGCAGAGCGACTGTGTATGGCACTTGGCAGCACTGGAACCTGGGAGCAGGTTTGTGGGTGGCAGTGGCTGTGTAGCCACCGTAGGAAATTGTGCTGTGGCACACACTCTCAGCCCGCCAGAGAAGTTGCTGCAACTCTTTGGACGTTTAAAGTTTTGTAATTTACTGTTCCTCCTAGTCCCAGACTCTAACTTCTAAAAATCTGCCCTAGAATGCCTCTATAAGCTTTAACTTGTGTAAAGAAAATTTTTTATCCCATACTCTGATTGGTTCAATGTAGAATATTAACACAGCAGGAGTTACAGCATCAAATTTCATGTTAGAGGACAGTGGATGAGTAATGGAAATATATTAAAAAAGCACCATATTATACAGGCAAAGACAGAAGCTATGGTTCAGCGATGTAGTTTACATGGAAAATGTCAATCAAAAGACTTAAACTATGAAGAAAAGCTTCTGGATGATTTATAGGAAGACTGCAGCTGCTAAATCCCTCCTCACCTCACCATATGTAATCCTCATGTTATATCACAATTCATGAAATTGCTCTGTATTTATGTGGATTTGAAAGCTGGGTGAGCTGGAGCTTGTCCCTAGCTTGAAAAGGTTGGATGTGCTGCTCTATGCCACCTTGTCATTTTCTTTTGCAGCCACTTAGTATGACTGTTTAAGGAAGAACATTTGTGTCTCATGTCTGCTGTAAGGCTAATCAAATTTACAGCCCAATTCTAGTAAGTTAATGCTATTGGGGATTTGGATGAGCCGAGGTTTGGTCATTACAAAATTTCAGCTGTGTTTAATGCTAGTTAAACTGCTTTATCATTCAGAAGACAGACTATAATTCTTCTTTAAAACTACTTTTCCCCCAAATAAATGAAAATATATTGCTATACTGTATTTTTC